TATATATATATATATATATAGAGTTACATATAAAGCGCATACAATATATATGGATGTGTAATATATAAACAATTTTACCTTAATATCTCATGACGACTATCTCGTAATTCACCTTTAATATCAAAGTTATGAACGAATATAGAATCTAGATGGCATGGAATCTCATCGTAGTTGGATATCGTACGTACTTTTTCCTGTAGTTTGTTATCTCGGGCTACTCGCTCAACCAAAGAACGAAGCGTTGGATTGTCAGTTTTGTAATATAAAAGCTCACTGTCTTTACATTCTTTCAAGATCGTTAAACCATAAATCGGAAAAGGCGAAATATCTAAAATATATTTTATATTTCTATTCTTATGAGATCTACCGATCTCGGTGAGCAGTTTCACATAATTAAAATCATTTAAAAAGACAATGACCTCTTTTGGTAGATGGTACAAGGATTTACAACCTGCCGCGTTAAGTTCCGCGTTGCCAATGCTACAAGAACATTTCAATTTACTCTTCAGAATCTCCGCTTTTATTGTTACGACATCACCTTCGTGACACGCGGTGTGTAACGTCGGAAAAACCGCGAGGTCCCAACAAGATTTGCCGTCAGAGGAATCCAACGTGATTTCCTCGTCGAGATGTAACTTAAACCAAGTGACAAGACCATCTATGATGCCATTGTATTTACATTTCGCTCGCAGCAACTGCTTTATTCCGTCCTTGTGGAATTTTCGCAGTTCTTGTAACTCGTTGAAATTCACATAGAAGAGCTTCTGCGGCTCTGTGATATATTTCATTTGAATTTTTTCCAGATTCTCCGCCTCGTAATATTCGTCGTCCGGCAATACGGACACATTGTTGAAATTCAAAAGACAAATCTCTTTTACTTTTTCAAAGATCACTGACGATCTGAATCTAATATATTCGCATTCGATGGCTGCTGTGTAAACCGTCGCGCCCATAGGTATTATCATACCATATAAATCTAAAATATTCATGTGTACGTTAATCAAAGACGGTACTACAAGCTCCCCGAATAAGCCGGCATCAAACGTTTCAGTCACTATTAATTGTACTCTAGAATTATACAGGCATATGTATATTCTTTGTCGATTAATGCATTATATTAATAAAATATTTGTATTTTGTTGCAACAAACCTTTCTGGAATGTCTGTAGGTACTTTAAGGTCGAACGATAGTTTTGGTATTAATTTTATATCCGATGCATTATTAGATTCAAATACTTCTTTTGCGATTCGCGTCATTATTTCGGAGCATTCGCACGCATAGATCTTTGTAGCTCCTGCATATTTGGCATACAGACTCAAGAGGCCTGTACCAGTCCCTACATCCAAAACTGTATTGTATCCTTGATGAATTCTTTTGCGTATGGCCTGCTCAAAGGCATTATTTCTGGACTTATCATTGAGCATTGTGAAGTGCCACCTATCTACTGCCATACTGAATGCATTTTGCAAGTTTCGTTCTGCTGGTAGAAAGTTAGGATCAACTTTCAAAGCTCTTCTTAAATATTCTATCGCCCTTATGGGATCGTTATTCCTTTAACAACATATGTGGTATTCTCTGAGTTTTTAGATTGCAAATGACACAGTTACAATTTAATGTGTGAATAATTGGGAGATTAGGATCAATATATCATGCCTTTCAAAATAGAAATTATTTTACCTCAGCAAGTGTGCTGCAAAATTGTTTAGCATACGTGGATTATTTGGATAAATATCTAAGGAATACTTATAACAACGTACAGCATCAGATAATCTATTATTCTCTGCTAACTCTATCCCCCATGTGCCTAAAAATTACAAATGTTTTTATGTAAGCAATATATTAAAAACAATATAAAAGACAATACAATATATTGTGTCTTACATAGTATATCTGTAAAAGTTTCTTCAATTTCTGATCTTTTTGCAGGACATAGTTCCGCAACAATAGTATAATATGCATAAGCCTTTCCAAAATTTCCATTTCTATCGTGTTCCTTGGCCTTTTGTAATGATCTCTCTGATATATCGTTTACTTCTGACTGCATTTTGCATTGATCAAGTTCCTGTGGGTTAAGTTACACTAATTTATTAAAATTATTCTATCTTAAAATTTGCAATGCTAATATTTGTCATTAAAATACGAATGCTATATCTCAGTCATAGCTAAAAATATTATTTTCTTTTTCACTTCAAATGTCTACTAATTATTATAGTATAAATTTAGTCTAACCTAATCTATCACTTTTTAACCTTCAAACTTTATTGCGGCAAAAATTTGATTTTCTTTAGGAAAAAAAAATAAGAAAACAAACGATTATTGCGGTTGACTTACACGCATTGTTGGAAAATACTGAGCGAAGCTTCTGATCGAAAAGCAAAATTATTGAAGATACCTCACGTGTAGTAGCAAGTTATCAAATCTTTCATAACGTATATCTTTAATGTTTATGTTTACAATATTACCTTTATTGAGATGAAAAAGTGTGAGATTTCTTACTTCGAATCTTCTAATGAAATTTTCTTAAACAATAATCGGTAATAACAACTGACTGGCGATTATATGAAGCACCTTTATGTCAAGTGGAAAACATCTAAGCATAAACACAAAGGTAAATTCCTCTTGCACGCTTTCATGCTAAAAGCAACCTTTCCATTTTTATTGCTCATCACATACCGAAAGAAGATAGAATAATACTTTCAGCACAGAAACGTGGAAAACAAATCTAATGATTTAATAAAAAAATTTGAAGATACGTTTGTCATCATACACGTTCAAGTTGGCGTGTCTTTTGTTATCGAAAAATTAAACGAATCGCTTTTTACAAGTTTCCTGCTAGTGTTCAGCCATATAAGTTGAAAATAATAGAGAGGCTCACCACTCCTTGAGTCGTGCTACTTGAAAATTGAAGACCTTGTAAAGGTCTAGTTTGACCACTTCCTCGCGTGCAATATCTATTGACGAATTCGATTGGAAGCACTAGTGTACCAATGCACACTAAGGTCGATTCACAGCTCATTCTTATATTTCAACTGTGTTTATAGAGTTTTATTTTACATTTAAAATCATCTTATATTTATTTTCAGATGCTGACAAATTGTTGCACTAGTTACGCAACATTCGAAGGCGAATTTAAAACAATTTTAAACATAAGAACTGACTGTTGGTCTGTTCTTTCCAGCTGCACTGCTGAACTGATGCAATAAGTTAGAGTGAGAAAACATATACTTGTCTCACTTTAACTTATTGCACCAGTTCAGTAGTGCAGTTGAAAAGAACAGACCATATGAAACGTCCTTAGTATGCACTGGTGCGCACTAGTGCTTCCTATAGAATTCGCCATATTTGATTGAAATTAGAGAGAAATCAATGTTGATTAAAGAGTACGCTATATTCAACTAACCGGCATGAATGTCGATATACGAATAAACGATTTTGCATATTTGTATTTGTTTCTCTGGCTATTTTCCCGTTAACTCAGAACATCAGTTATTGATCTCTTCACATAAACTTGATCTTATTTATCAATTGTATAATTTCTTAGTACGAAATTGTGAAAAGTGAATTATTTTACGATATTTGATCATGAATATTTTCGTCCAATCTAAAATCGTAAAAAGTAAACATTTTCATATATTTTCAAATTAAAATTTTCTATTTTTACGAACTCAGGAGAAGAGATTCATAATCGGCTTTTAGGTAAGCCGAATTATTGTTTCATCTGACTATTCTGCCATCGACAGGAAGGACTGAAAAACGCGCAAAATGTTTTGAGCAAAGCAGGGAATCAGATCATGAAACATTGAACGCCACATTCCAGACGTCAGAACATGGCGATGACGATGTGACGGTACTGAAGACAATTCGATCAAGCAAGGATAATTCAATCATCTCCTGACTCGGGCTCTTGGGGGTCAATCATAAATCTTTTCCGCTATTATGAACTCATGAAAAGTGAAAAGTCTAACCTTGAAAATATATGGAAACATTTACTTTTCCCATAACAGAACAAGTTACAGTAACATTACAATATACGTATTATAATTTCTATTATGAGTCCATTGTGATGTCACATTGTTTTGCTGCGGTGGTTTTCACGAGTTCACAATGGAGAATAGAAAATTTATGATCGCCTCCGAGTACTGCAAAATTTTTCACTTCATGATTTCATACTAGAAAAAAGAATTATATGATTGGATAAATAAAAAATCAAGTTCACGTGAAAAGATTTATGACTGACGCCCTAGATGTTCACGCGACGTCGTTGGATTCTGCCAAAAAAAGGAACGCCGGAGAAAACGATTCGGTCATGCCTCGAAAGACACAGCCCATATATGGTGCAATTGACACAATGCATGCCGCCGCAGCCCCGCGAAATGAATAATGTAGCGCAAGTTTCTCGCGCAATTCCAAGAGGATTCGTCGCGTGTCGCGCACTCGGCGACGACGTCCGTTCAGGTGCCTCAGGCTGGTCCTAAATCGTGCATTACGACGCTCAAAATGACGCTATTGTAAAATGGATTAATGCAATTGTGTCAACGATCCGGAACTACATCTGCCGCGTGGAGAAACTGCTCTCGCGAACGATGAGTGCTGCGGTCCAGCGTGGACCAATCGTGGCGCGACATGAGGTCATCGTGAACCTATCGGCGTGTCCTGGAGTCGTAGATTCCGGTCGGTATATAAATCCCCGCGCAGAGCTGCTCGCGCACTAGTCCCTCGTCGAACGGACGTGAACGTCGTATAGTTGTTTGCAAAAGCTCCATTGCTTGCTTTCGCCAACTATCGATCCCCGTGCGGTTTCAACCCTTTCTCTTTTTTGTAAGAAGTCAACGAACAATCATAATACAAAATGGTGAGAGTTCTTAAATTATTTTATTTATTTTCATCAGCATCGCGAGTTCTTCCGCGCGTGCGACACCGCCCATCGTCTTTGCTGGAGTGTCAGCCATTTTATAACGGCTAAATGCCGGCCGGGTTACGGCTTCTTCGAATTCAGACAGCTGCCGAATATCGCGGAAATTTACGTCGCGTTTGTCATTAATCTTATCTATCTTTTCCTAATACGCGCTTGTAATAATTATTAAAATTGTATAGATTTCATAACAATACACATATCGAGTATTTGAATATTCTGGAATATATAGATAGATACAGCAAGGCATTGACCTTTCTCAAAGATCTATTCTTGGAAATTTGCCATGTTTACTTTCTAATAATAATGCCAATTGTGTTCACTAATAATATTAATCACTTATTACTATACTTTATTATTTCTTAATTATTATATATAGCTAAATTATTAAATACTTCATTTGTTATAAAGTATTGTTATTACTTCATAATAAAAGTTAGGTATAATATTAATGTTTGTATGATTTTTGTAGCGTGAATGTATCTCAATTCATGTTGGACAAGCTGGAGTGCAAATTGGCAATGCCTGCTGGGAATTGTATTGCCTGGAGCATGGCATTCAGCCGGATGGTCAGATGCCATCTGACAAGAACATTGGAGGTGGAGATGACAGTTTCAACACTTTCTTCAGCGAAACTGGTGCTGGCAAGCATGTACCCAGGGCTGTCTTTATTGATTTGGAGCCCACTGTAGTCGGTATGTACAGTTTATCTCTAAATTAAATATATATCTTAATATATTATATTAATATATTAATATCTAGTATTATTATCTAATAAATCTCTATTAGTATTAGTATTATCTAATATATATTAATATCTAGTATCTAATATATTTAATTAATACATGACATATATAAGCTAAATATAAGAAATATTATAAATAGCAATTTTTTATAATATGATATTATAATATGTATTGCAAAAATTAATTAGTGTGTCCAGCGCTTTTAAAGCTTCTGTCTACTCATCTTGATTTATGGTATCAGGAGCACTGAAATGCATGTCCAAAATTCATGTAAAGTATATTGAAAGGAAAAGATATATCAAAAAAATAACAATCGATTAAACACACCTCTAAAAATACTCCGAATATTTTTTTATTCTAACAATCAATAAATAACCGTAAAATTAACATGACAAAATAATGAGGAAATATAGGTTAAAAAGGAAGGTTGCATGTCACGTTAATTTTACAATTATTCACTGATTGTTAAAGCAAAAAGGGAAATGTTCTGAGTATTTTTAGAAACACGCTTAATTGATTGCAAGTATCCTTTTTTGGATCTTTTTGTTTCGACATATTTTGTGAGAATTTTAGACATGCATTTCCTTGCCTCTGATGTCAAATCAAGAAAATGTCGCGATAAGTAGTCAGGAGTTTTAAAGACTCTTGACGCACTAATTAATTTAATATCAGCAGAATCTTTCCTTTTGTGACTGTTGCAAAAATGTAAATCATGAATTCTTATTATTTGTAGACGAGGTTCGCACTGGAACTTACCGCCAGCTCTTTCACCCGGAACAGCTGATCACTGGCAAGGAGGATGCTGCGAATAACTATGCTCGCGGTCATTACACGATCGGCAAAGAGATCGTAGATCTTGTGCTGGACCGTATTCGCAAGCTTGCGGACCAATGTACCGGTCTGCAGGGTTTCCTCATTTTCCACTCGTTCGGCGGCGGCACCGGCTCCGGTTTCACTTCTCTCTTAATGGAACGTCTGTCTGTAGACTACGGAAAGAAGTCGAAGCTTGAATTCGCCATTTATCCCGCGCCGCAGGTTTCTACGGCTGTGGTCGAACCGTATAACTCTATTCTGACGACGCACACCACTTTGGAACATTCTGATTGCGCGTTCATGGTTGACAACGAGGCGATCTACGACATCTGTCGTCGCAATTTGGATATTGAGCGGCCGACTTATACGAATCTGAACCGTTTAATCGGCCAGATCGTCTCCTCCATCACAGCATCCTTACGGTTCGATGGCGCACTGAACGTCGACCTCACCGAGTTTCAGACCAATCTGGTGCCCTATCCGCGCATCCACTTCCCTCTCGTCACTTATGCGCCTGTTATTTCAGCGGAGAAAGCATATCACGAGCAGCTCTCCGTCTCGGAGATCACTAATGCCTGCTTCGAGCCAGCTAATCAGATGGTCAAGTGCGATCCGCGTCATGGCAAGTACATGGCGTGCTGCATGTTATATCGCGGTGACGTTGTACCCAAGGATGTGAACGCGGCGATCGCCACCATTAAGACCAAGAGGACCATCCAATTCGTCGACTGGTGTCCCACCGGTTTCAAAGTCGGCATCAACTATCAGCCGCCAACCGTTGTGCCAGGCGGCGATCTCGCCAAGGTCCAACGCGCCGTCTGCATGTTGTCCAACACCACGGCCATTGCCGAGGCTTGGGCTCGTCTCGACCACAAATTCGATCTCATGTATGCCAAACGTGCGTTTGTCCATTGGTATGTCGGCGAGGGTATGGAAGAAGGAGAGTTCTCCGAGGCGCGCGAGGATCTCGCTGCACTCGAGAAAGACTACGAGGAGGTCGGAATGGATTCCGCGGAAGGCGAAGGCGAAGAGGGCGCTGAAGAATATTAAAGCTGACGATCTCTTGCGACTATCTTGAAAAGATATGAGATTCCTGTGTCTTGAAATAAATTACTGAATCATTTGCATCGCAAACTTGTCATTATTCGATACGTCACCCTATACTTCTAGACCACAAATGTGTAGTCTAATATAAATGTATTCGACTGTATCGATTACGCTTAATTCGATCATTTGCGGAATGGAACGCGGCACTAATCTAAAGTAATTACACATTTATTATATTAAATATTTTATAAACAACTTTAGCTTTACAAACTTGTATATTTCATAATATGTGAATTTTGATTATATACTCGTAACTTAAAATTCTCTATCAACAGTTGCACAAACAAGATATTGATTCTATGCGCAAACAAAGATGGTGTTAATGATCATAATATGCTATTGAAAAAATAATTTATATGTATTTCGCAATATCTTGCTTTTACACACACGCGCGCACACACAGTAGCAATTTCAAAGTAGCCAGACACAAGTCGTATATTCACGAAGATTTATAATATCAGAAATTGACTGAATTTATGTTTACTACATAAATTCAATTTTTCACACCTTAGAAAGTAAAAATTCCCCAAATTTTGACTTTAAAACAATTATATAAAACTATCTATAAAAAGTAAATTTGATATATATAATACAAATAATATAAATTATTCGATTTATATATAAAGTTACATTTCGAACTTGTCATAAATCAACATTGATCATAATACATTAATTATTACAACGATCTTTCATTCTTCGAATAGCTCGCAAGACAAGCTATACTTATCTACAGCAGAGCTCGGAATTGGTTGCCCATTTCGGCCGATTCTCAGGAGCTACGCCTTCTATCTTCCCCTTGCCGCGAGCGGGCCGCGAAAGTGACGGTCGAGCCTCCAAGCTTGAAGCCGTGACCGTCATTTTCGTGGTCCGCTCGCGGCAAAGGGAAGATAGAAGGCGTAGCTCTTGAGAATCGGCCGAAATGGGCAAGTAATTCCGAGCTCTGATCTACAGTGTTGTAATGTATCTAGATAAATTTATTTATTACAGTAGATATATTTATCTAATTACAGTAGATACATTTATTTAATTACAATATCTAGTTACTTTTTGTATATCTTTATCTGTAACTAGTTAGATTTTTCATTTCAGTAACTGTATCTATAATTTCATTTTATCTATCTGTATCTAAAGTGTTAAACTTAGATACACTTACAAGGTTAAATAAAATTAGTTACAGATACAGTTACTGAAATAAAAAATCTAATTAGTTACAGATAAAGATACATAAAAAGTAAATATTGTAATTAGATAAATGTATCTACTGTGATTAGATAAATATATCTACTGTAATTAAATAAATGTATCCAGATACATTACAATATTACTTATCTATAATAAACAGCAACTGTTTAAAAATTACTATATTCAACGAACTTTTGAAATATATGCTTCATAAATTTGAGAAACGCGCGAACGAATAAACTAACAAAATTAATTCAGTCATCTAACTCCAAGTCAAAATCTTCATCATAAATGTCTTCGTCGTCCGTGTAGTAGTCGTACTCCATATACTCGGCGTGGAGATCGAAATCATCGTCATCGTCTGGTTCATCGGGTATCACACCGCGGTACAACATTTCAAAACACTTGGATTCTGGATTACGAAAATGTAAGTAAGGTGCCTCGGGATTGAGCCGCATGCCGCATAACCAACAGAAATACGTGCCACAATGCGAACAGGTCATCTTATTACAGCCATCCGATTTCTAGAATAATTCATCGTGATATTTGTCGTAAATAATAGTAAAGAATGTGATCGAATTTACAACTATAACGAATCTACATTGTCTTAAAACAAAAAAGTAGGTTTAAAATTACCGTTAAAAGATCAGCTATTCTAGAAAAAACCAAATTCCTACCTCAATAGCGCTCTTGCAGTGAGGACAATTATGGCTGTTATTGTCGATCCAATTCTCAGACATAGTGTTCTCTATCAGAATCTCGAGCTGCCTCTTGCCATAACGCTGCTCCATTTCAGCCTTCTTCTCATTACTGGCTGACTGATATTCACTCACTAATCGTTGTTTCTCGGCTATCGATCAATCAATGTGATTAATACATAAGATCAATTTAATTTCTCCTTTAACATGAATGTTTTGTTGCGAAAAGTCATGATTTATGTTAGCAGAATCTAGCTGCATACCTGAACTGATTTTACAGGGTTCTACTCCATGATAAACCATCTTGCAACGAACACAGAACGCATACTGGCAAACGGGACATTTCGCCATTTGATCGTTGAGATCGCGAGTAACTGGATATTGACAGTGTCGTCGTGGACAATAAACAATATCCATCATAGTGTCTAGTGTAGCACTTAACAATATGGAATCATACTTTGAAAATAATTCTGAACTCACCAAATCTTTTATCTGTAAGAAGACCAACAAATATTTCACATTAGTTTGCTAACATCCTAATATCAATAATTAATAATCAGACACACAAGTTGTATGGAAAATGGTTACCTGGCCAGGTGTAGCCTCAAACTTGCATTTTTCCTCAGGGCAACAAATATTCTGTACATTTCCTTCTTTGATTCTCACCTCAAAGTAACCTCTAATGCAATCTTTACAGAAAGTGTGAGCGCAAGGCAAAAATTGAGTGCAATGCTCTCCTGATTTGTCAGTAAAGCAGATATTACAAGTGTAAAAGTTCTTTTTGAATTCTATCTGTTTCCGTTGCTCGTTGTAGTTGACCAAAACTTGAATAGGATTTCTGCCAACTGGACACTCTAAAATTGCTCTTTTGTCGATAGAATTAGTTTTCTTTGACACAGTGTTCTCTTTACTAACTTCGCTATTGCACTGTTTGTAAGATTCACCAGTTTCGTTGTTTGCTTGCGGAGTCTGCAGTTTTTCTAGTGTTTTCTTGTAAGATGTATACATGTAATCCATGTCCAAGTACTCTTTTATCTTTAAAAATTTGAGTGTTTCGTTCTGAAGGAACTCCACCCATGCGAATAAGATCTCTTGCTTGCTGCTCTCCCATAACAAATCTAGCTTTTTACATAACTTAGCTAATGCTGACAAGCGCAACCAAGAGGAACATAGTGTAAATATTGGTGCTGATGTAGTTGGGTAATCTTCTGGTAATGTAACGTGCAACGTTAAGGGTGGTAAATATGATATTTGCACTTTCTGCGCAGTGTCCACTTCGTGTCTCAGATCCTTGTATGTTAGATAATACATTGTTGGGAGATTCACGAATATCTTGAAAGTACAGTCGAATCGGCTGTTCTCCTCGTTATATGAGAACTCCTCCTTATTGTAGATACTCTCCAAAGCAGTGACCTCATCCTTTTGTTTCTCGTAGTCCATTGACTACTGCAAAGTGAAACTGACTGTAGTGTTTCTGTATACTATATAGCAACTGATATCGAAAGAACATCGAAATTTCATGATTACGTCGTTTACTTACCAAATTTGGAAGTTCGTTACACGTAAATTCGGGTAGTAATATTAATAAGTTCTTCAATTATACTCCTGAGTGTTCGTTAATTTGGTTATCGAAAGTGTCAAATGTGTCGGTGACAGTTCAAAGGGGTTATGCACTCGTCGACTTCTCGAACAATTTGAAGTTCGCTGGATTGCTTGCGGTTTCACTGTAGCTACAAAATGAGATCTGCTTAGTTCTACAAATCATCAAATATTCTAACGAGGTAAATAAAAGAAAAAAAAAGACGAAAATTATAACTTTCAGCAGTTGTATAAACATACGTACCATGCGCGTTCGCGTGTTCAGTTACTACTGGTACCATGACGCTGCGCATAGCACCTTCACGAAGCCGCACTTTCTGTGTTTATGATGTAACGAAAATCAACAGAATTGATTACGATAGATCATGTAATATTGCGGCAGATATTCTTAACCGAATAAAATACCTCAAGAAATTTTAGTTAAAAGATGTAAAAATTATATAAGAAAGAAGAAAACGAGGCGATGAAATAAAATCAAGCAGCAAGTGTCTACTCAAGTAGAATAGAGAGAAAAAAATTGTTAATTTAAAAATAATTTAACATGTAAAATAATTGTAACGAAATTTTCAAAGCGTACACTACAGAAGAAAGTTTTGTGTTTAAGATGATTTTTATTATCGAAATTTTGTCTAGGGAAGTTTGATTTATTCATAAAAAGCTGATATGTGCATAAAAAACTGTAAATATTATCAATTCTCTCTATTTATCTATTTCAACATATAACGTAGCTTCAGAAGCCTAAAAATATTATCAGTTATTTATCATGATTCTTATCGCAATCGATCTCGCAATTGATTTTCGATCAATCGGCGATCAACGGTCAACGGTCATGGCGGCGCTTATAACGAAATTAAACAGCATTCACCGGCGAATCGTCCATGTACCATGTTGCAATTGCATTGTCGGTATAATGAAGTTTGTCATACCTTGTTAAATATCGGCCTCTTTGTCGCAGTCATATTCGGTTCCAGTCAAACTTGTCGGAGCTGGTGAAATTGTTCGGTCAATTAAAATCGGTATTACGCGCGCAGTTTTAAGATGAGCACCGTAGACGAAACGTGGAGAATGTTATTTCCAATATGTATCAACATGGTAATGTCTGTGATCGCGTTTGGCTCGACCATGTATCTAATTCCCAGAGCAAAAGCCGTGTTCGTCAAAGCTAACCTCTATGGCATCGACATGAGTAAAAGGAGCAATGAAAAGGTGTAAGTAAGACGAGAAACATTTCAAGTAGACTTTCATGGTATTACAATATCAGACATGCACACACAATGGATGTGAGATAGAAACTTTAAATTACATTTATGAAGTAAATTGAATGAAAATTAAATTAAATATTAAATTTACATATATCATTAAAAAATGCAGTTTTTTTGTCATTGATGCAGCAACAAATTTACTCAAAGTTACACTCAGATTTTCATGTTGCATTTAACATGACATTTTGATTAAGTTTGGATAATTCTTTTCGTATTTCTTTTTTGTTTCTATTTTGTTATTTTATGTGATAAATATCTCATCGTAATCTGATCAGTCATCAGGAACTCAACATTACTGAATTTTCTAATTTAATATACTTAAAATTTACATACATTAGTCTATCAGAGATGCTACAATGCATTTAGTTATATCAAATTATACTTCTCTGTAAGTATAATTATCTCCATATACCAACGATGCATGTATACACCCAGTTAACTATTGCAGGCCAGAGGCAATGGGTGTTTTTACTGGATGCGCATTCCTTGTAACAATGTTTTTGTTCATCCCTATACCATTTACAGATTATATATTGAAGAATGAAAACTTCCCACATGACAAGGTATGATAGTTGTTTGTATGATATATATGGTTGCTTCTAGAATCTTGATGAAAATTGTAATTGCAGTTTAACTAATCTTCACTCTTTAATTCTGTAATTATAGTTTTAGTAAAAATCAGTTAAACTATGACAGGTATTGACAAATATTTATGGAAATGTTATATATTTAATTGAGGAGCAGAAAAAAGACACATGTAACATACAAACACAATATAATGCATAGACTTTTCTTTACAGTTTGTTGAATTCTTGGCAGCATTATTATCCATATGTTGCATGCTACTGTTGGGTTTTGCTGATGATGTTTTGGATCTTCGTTGGCGATATAAGTTACTTCTACCCACTGTAGCATCCTTGCCACTATTAATGGTTTATTATGTTAACTTCAATTCCACAATAATCATTGTACCAAAACCACTAAGACAATGGTTTGGCTTTTCATTGAATTTATGGATATTTTATTATGTATATATGGGAATGCTGGCAGTGTTTTGTACAAACGCTATAAACATATTAGCTGGGATAAACGGCCTGGAGGTTGGGCAGAGCTTAATAATTGCTACGAGTATTCTCATCTTCAACGTTATAGAATTATTTGGCAGTCAGTGGAAGGCACATCAGTTTTCAACGTACTTTATGCTGCCATACATAGCTACCTCTCTTGCATTGTTCAAATTCAACTGGTAAGTCATATCAGAAAGTATTTCTTACGTAATGTATATCTATGGTTGATAGTAGTGATCGCTATTTGCATCGCGATAATATAACGAATCCAAAAGCAAAAAGAATATCTCCAGACAAGGGAGATTTAACGCTTCTTCGTCGTGGAACTCTTGATTAATGACGTCAGAAATGAGAAAATCACGCCAAAAATTTTCGCAGATTATATAGATTGAAATAAAAAAATGTATCCATAAAACGACGTTTGATCTGCACGATTAATTGCAAGGGTCACTTTGTGAACATATATTAATGCATATATTAATGCATTTTGTAATATGTATTTTTAATTTTTAACATATATTTTCGTTTATTCTTCTGACGTCATAAATCAGGATGGTTACGATGATCAGAATATAAAAATTAGCGAGCTTACGAGTTATATGTATAAACCATTTAACATGTATATTTCGTCAACATAATATTTTATGTGTATAAATCCAGTATAATATTACATGGTGTACATAATGTATTGAGTATGAGTTAATATCACAGTCGGGTGTAACCAGTACGTCAGTAGTAATCTAGTTTAGCGTAGAAGTTCTCTACCAGCCAGTCGTACTTCCACGTGTTGTTAAGAATCGTTTCAGGCGCAAAGTAGGAATCCCTTGATTTGGAGACTCTCAGGAGATTGCTTTTACCGTCTAACCATAGTCCGCTACCTATTAGGTCCTCTACGAACGGCACGTCGACAGTCTTCTCTATATCTATTTCCTTGGACTGGATTTTACTGTGAAGACCGATAATAATATTAGCGGGCGCTTGGCATAGGTAGCAATACCAGCCGCCATAGTGATTCAGATCCCCTATGACTAATCCCAAAATATCTCTCTCGCTAGCGTCCCCGTCCAACTGTCGGCGCAGCACGACAGAGTTGGATTGATAGGCATTTCGCATCAGGCCGATTGTGTACGCGCCGAGCATTATCGTTGTCTTGAGCGGATGCTGCCAGAAAAAACCGTACACTGACCACCTTAATCTAAATCCTATAGGCTGAGGCCAACCGTCGTACATCTTGAGGAACATTAATGCCCTGGAATTCAGTATCTGCTCCGGCTCCGTCGTCACGTAGATATCGTCGTCCCTTAAGTTCTGCACCACAGCTCTGACTCGGTCCCAGACATATTTCGCCACTATCCTCGACGGCTTGCGTGACTTGGTCGTCACGTTAACGTACAAAATCTTCTTTTGCTGCCGCTGCAGCAGCCCTTTGGATAGTTTGTGACGGAAATTGTCCTCGGCGTTGTTGAAATCACAAATTACAAAAAGATCCACTACGTCGTAGAGTTCCTCCACTATTACCTCTGCGATCGCCGAATTGTATTCGCTTAGGCAGAAAGTATGAATAATATGTCTGGCTTCTTTGCGACGTTTCAGACTGATGTTCTGCTTCGACGCCATAATCGCCCTCCACACGACCTCTGGCTGTCCGCAGTCCAAGCCATGCCATCCTTGATTGCAAATACATTTTTCCAGACGCTCATTGCTTCTCATCTTACGCTGGTCTACCCCAAATTTCCAGCATATGGTATGATTGTATATCTCAAACAATTTAAAAGTCTTGACATCCTTCAGTACTACCTCTCCATTGATTGTCTGATAGATTGATTTTTTAGGATTGCCTTGATTTATTTGCAGTTCCTTTAATTAAAAAAAATAAACATTTTTATATGTAATTGATATTACTAAAAGAGTTAATATTAGAAGAGGATATTGAAAATAGACTATTTTTGGCCCATTGACGGAATCTTAACTAATTACTGGAAACTGTTGGAGCTTCTAGCAAAAGAAAATAACAAATTATTTGTCCACCAAATTCGGAGAATGTTACGAAAATCAGGATTTATTATTAATTGTTGAAATAGTTATATGAAATATTTTTTAAGTTTTATACCCTTGATATGTCTAAAATAAAATTGATTGCACATTTACGTTTTGAGAGGTAAATAGTAAATATAGAGAAGTTTATTTTTTAGTTCTCATACAATGTTTACGTGTTGTATATGCAGAATAATTCAAAAGAAAAACTATTTACATTTTACAAAAGAACTAAATTTTCTAGATTTACTACTTTTTTAACATATAAATGTGCAATTGACTTTGTTTCAGACATATTAAGAGTATAAAGCTTAAAAAACATTGTAGTGTGACTATTTCAACAAGCAATGATAAAAACGAATTTTCATAGCTTTTCCTGGACTTAGTAGACAAATAATTGTTATCTTTTGTTTCTGTAAGATCTCACAAGTTTCCAATGATCAGTCTAGGTTCCATTAATGAATAAAAAATGGTCTACTTTTAATATTCTCCTTTGTCTCTTTTGTCTGATTACCTGTGACGTCTCGAACTTGACAAAACTGACAGACGTACGAGTAGTTGACACTGTTAGTTCGGGTGGTGGAGTAGTGACCACATAGATCATAACAATGAGAACTTGCAGGACCAATAAGGTATACAGCAACGCTAGCTTTCCATCTAGACGGGCCTGCATGGCACTAATTCCTTAGCTCGAATTATTTAGTATTTCATTTTATGTCCCTGGAGAAATGGCTCTTGCTTACTGACGGTGACATTTTCGTTAACATTGCACTTCCGCAGGCGTCATCTGAGAACAGAATTGACAACAATTACATCATCATCCCTCTTATAACGCAATACATATTCACGATATTCCACTGTTAACTTAGAGCCGATATAAATCTTGAATTTATATTTTTATCCATAATCGATTTTCAAACTTGAACACACTTGACACACAGCACCCGCTACACTCGCGTGTTTCTCTTTAACGCGAAATTCGCTGACCTCATTTCTCTCGATGCATATATACATCGAGACATATCTCATATCCCGTTTCTCAGTAACGAGATCTCACTCATATGCTCTACGTATTTCTGTGCTTTCGCATCGAGTCGCAGTAATTTTCTCATTTCTAGTCACAAAGGTTATACACAGGTGCCACACTGATCCACCGCATTGCAGTAGAATCGTGCGACAGATAGTTCATCAATCGGATTCGCTGCTGTCAGCAAACGAGTTGAACCGGTTCGCGCGAGTTAAAAGTCCCGGCAGCTCCGCCCCGCACGGACGGACGCACGCGTGTCGTCGACACACCGACGATGTATATTATGTATTACGTAATAAAGTACCGCTCACAATGCAGTCCGGCGACTACGACGACAACGAGGGCGACGACAGTCTCGGTGACTCGTTGTGACGTTGCAGGTGCGGCGTTTGTGACGTCACCGCGGCGCCGCGACGTGCCATTTAACTCGCACTCGCAATGGTCACAATCGCTAATCCGGTCGTCGATTCGCCAGTGTAAAATTGCCGGCGAATTTCTTCTTTTAAGTATTTGTTTCTCTTCGAACACAGCTTTCTCCTTTCTGTAATCTTTTCTTTTTTATATCCAGCAACGGCGAGTTCAAATGGATCCTATGGCGACTACCCGATCGGCCGGTGATGCGCACGTTCTTCTAGTCACGCCTGATAGTCGTTGCCTGACACCCCGGCAAATCGGTCGAGGTGGGTCAGGGCGGTTCTCTGTCTCTCTGTTCTCGGTATATGCCGGCAGCAGCAGCAGCACACCACGACGACGTGAAAAACCACGCCCGAGTGCCGCACCACGCCAGCCAGCTAGCCAGCCGGAGCCGGCGGTGGTCCGTCCGTTTGTCGGCGAATTCTCGCCACAAGCGCGATCGCGACTATTCGCAAGGCGCACGCGTCTTAGAGCGGCGGCGGCGGCGGCATCTCATTAATTGTGCACTTCTATATGTACATATCTCGTCCCTTGTTGTGAAGCATGAGTAATCATTGACGCTGCCCCGATGAGTCAGAATCATTTTTACGATGGTAGGACGTCGCGAAATGCTGTTTACAACTAGTCACGATGATCCTCCATCTGTTGAATGGCTTTTGTAGCGAGATACAACCCCTGATAGTTGTATCTGCGCGCTTGTAGTCATCATGGTGGCTTGTGGCTCCTCGTTTGTAGTCTTGAAGCAATGGCGCGTCTTGAATTGGCTCCTTTAGGACGATGCGCCCTGTGCGTATCTCTTTATTTGTTCGCGTTCTGTACACCTGTTATGAAAAATAATTATAAATAGATTATCATTTTATAGAAATACATACAATTTATAATGGAAAGATTAAAATTGCATACAAATAGCGTGAAGATTATATATGTATTTTGTCGTATGATTAATTGCATTTATGATTATCGCACATTGAGAGTTATGTTAAGACAAGATTAACGATAATGTTAAAATTAATAATAACGTTTTGTTTAAGGTACCCATCGGAGGTTTTCGTGGGTGATACATTTTGCTATATATCGGGGATGACTTTTGCCGTCGTTGGTATTATAGGCCACTTTAGTAAAACTACTTTGCTTTTCTTCATTCCACAAATCATTAATTTTCTATACAGCGCGCCGCAACTTTTTCGTCTTATGCCGTGTCCTAGGCACAGATTACCAAAGTGAGTCTTGAAAAAATGGCTAATAGGCATCGTTAATTTCTATTAAAGAATTTGTTCACAGCATATATTCTTTTTTTGCAGATATAACAGAGAAACAGATTTATTGGAACCTAGTGTAACTATATTCCATAAATCAGAACTTAACGTGATTGGTAAGATAATTTACAAAAATGTAGCATGCATAATAGATAAGAGATCACTTATGTCTTTATAAGCTTGTATATCATTTTATTAGGAAGGCTATTAATATGGATACTGAAAACACTCAAATTGATAAAGTGGCAAGAAGATAGAAAAGGCATTGTAATTTGCAATAATTTAACTTTGATTAATTTTGTACTCATCAATATTGGTCCACTAAGAGAGCCAGTGCTCACATCAATTCTACTAATAATTCAGGTAAAATTTTGAATAAAATAAGTACATGATGTATACTACTTACAATATACTGATATGACTTGTCTTTCAGGTTGCTAGCAGTGCAATAGCATTTATCATTAGGTATCCTTTTGCTTCCATATTTTATGATGTTTGAATAAACGCAAGAATGTTTTTTTATAAAATGTGATGTATATAATGCTTGAAACATAGACATAAAAATTATATAAATGAGATTACTATTGTTATTATTGTTAGTAACTATTAGAAATAGAAAAGAGTTTATTGAAACATTTTATTACAATTTCAAATCGCAAATTTATTATAGTTATTGTACATATCATATGATCAATATGATCATAAAACCTCTATCTCCTCGTTGTAGAATTTTGTATTTGTATTTAAAACTTTGTGTTTTTTGTTAAATTATACATGATGCGCTATTTTGTGTGCCAAAGCATATTATAAATCACCAATATACCATAGTATATTATTTTCTATATAGAACAAAATAAATAAATGTGTAATTTTCTTATCTGCGCAAACAATCGCGCAAGAGATCGTGTATAACTTGTTTAAAAACTTGATTACTGTGTGATGTGTATGATGCCTTATGTACAGAATAATACAAAAGATAACTGCATGTTTATAGGCTATTACACATTGTTTTTAATATTATATAAAATATTCCATATATCGAGCAACAATATACTTTTAAGTATCAATAAACATTTCAGGTTTAAAAAATTTTTAAATTATAATCACAATTATAATCAAAATGTATACCAGATCTGCACATATAAAAACAGGACCTTGTTAAATAAGACAGTCTTTAAAACAATAATGTATAAATCTCATCGTTCAACAAATACTTTTAATCTACAAGACATCTGTGATAAACTAACTCATCATGTTACTATCCTTTCTTGTGTACTAGAGATCAAATGCAATTAGGAATAAAGTACTATCGTCCGCATACCTTATTAACAAGAAATAACACAGAATAAAGTATTTCCCTTAATTGGATACGTGAGCGTCATGTTGTGACATGCTAACAAAAAATGTAATTTTTCAGAGTTGATTAAAGTATTTTTTATTATTAATTTTTTTATACTTTAGGACACGTTCGGAACGTCTTTGATATCAAGCCCTAATTTATTTTTTAACGTAAGTTGTGTCTTTGTGGCGTCTCTCAAGCTGTACAGATGTGTAAGTTCCATGGACGTACGACACAATTCCAAAGCCTTATCGAACAATTTTATCGCTTCTTCTAAGTTGCCTCTGTAAAAAAAATATACATATGTGTATATATGTGTGAAAATAATTCATGTTGTATCCCGAGTGCGCACGCGAATGAACTGAGCGTTACAATATATTTATAAAGAATATGTTCAAGTATTTTCATATAAATTACGTGTACAACCATAGATCACTTCGAAGGATTTTAAGGTACGAGCTCAAATCGAATTATAAAAAGAAGTAATTGAAAATATACCTTTGCACTTCGATACTTCCTAGTGTTTCGTACCCAAGCTCGCATTTCTCATCTATTTTCAATGCTTTATGAATGTATTCCACGGCTTTATTGATTCCTGAGCTATTGTTACCGTGCCATTGCAATTGTAGCAAACCTCTATGCACGTATACATTTGCATTCTCCGGATCTATCTCTAACGCTTTAGCGAAGTATGCATCCGCCTTCTCGTAATCTTGACTTTCAGACATCATCTGTCAACAATTATTATAAATGTTAAAAATCGCTTACTATCAACGATAAATTTTTTCTTTATATATTATGTTATTGCATATTTGAAGCAATTGTACTACCTGTCCACACAACATATAACCTTCGGGACGATCTGGGTATTTTTCCAAAGCTTCCATAAAGTCTTTTTCAGCCTTTTGCAGTGCATTCATATCTCTATAGTAGATCGCATAACGATAATCTGCATAACATTTTTGCATATGACCAGGACCGAAGTTTGGGTTGTAACGAACTGCTTTCTCAAAATCGTGTTTAGCTTCATCCACTTGATTTAAGAGTAAGTGCACCTAAAAGCACAAAATAGAACAATATATTGCATCATATATGTGTACCAAAATACGTAATTGAGAGGTAAATATATTCTTTATGTGATACCTGTCCACTGTGGTGATAAATATCACTATAAGTTTCATCTTGCTTGATAGCTACTCCAAAACCATTTATAGCCATTTCTGGCATTTCAAGTTGCATGTATAAGGTTGCCTTCTTTATGAGCGCATTCAATATCACATTCTTAGGCGTGTCTACGTTGTTTATTATAAAATCCAAGTCTTTAAACACGTCAGAGTGTTTACCCAAGAGAAGATAAAACGTGGTTCGTAAAAGCATTATCTCCATTTTATACGGCAATGTGTCAAAATCTGGACTGGTAATAACATCCGTGCACAGTGATATTATATCGTCGTATTTCTCGTCTTTCATTGCTTGTAAGATGTTGTTATAAACCCTGGTAATTAAGTCATCATAAATATATTACAGTAACATTATCAAAAGTAAGATTATAGTCCTTTGAAATTGACTTTTCTGTTAATATTTACTTTGGGATATCTTCTGGTAATGGATTCTGAAGTCTAGAAAATACTGGATCATTGGGGAAAGATACCATATAAGTTTTGATGAAATGTTTGCTTGGCATTATAAACTTTTTGTTTTGCAAATTTTCGTGAACATGTTGTTTCCCTAAAAATAATTGTTATTTTGAGGCCTTAAAACATTTTCTTTTATTTTTCAATTTTTATCCTGAATTATCAAATAGTATTTTACTCAAATTTCACATTTCACTTAATGTTTATATGTGATTACTTACCAAGTTGTTTCAAAAGCTTATCTGCCAGTGTAAGAGATGTATGACTACTAAAGGCTTCATAGATACATGTGGCAGTGACATCTTCTAAAGCAGATTCCAGATCCCCCATTTGCTCCAAAGCACGCGCTCGACGTAACAAAGCTTTCACATACCTTGGTCTTAGCTCTATTGCTTTTGTACAGTCCATTTTTACGGAATCATATTTTCCCTGTGATACAAAATTACAGAATATAAAAAAACAATAATTTTAATATGATAAAATATTAATATTATCTATTAACTAGGGAACTGTTTAGTTTCACTAATGATTAGATGAATATTATATGCCCAGTTTTTCATTCTTTGGTTAATCTATAGTTTAGACTGTAAAGTTGTGGCACATAGAAAACTTAAGTAGTAAGACCAATTACGACTGACAATTTCTTCACTGTAATGAGAATAATCAGAAAATAATGATTGGTCAATTTTCACACTACTAAGTAGTCAGTTCAGCAGTGCAATTGAAAAGAACAGACCATATGTCTTACTAATTAAGTTTTCTATGTGCTATGGCCCAAAATCTAGATCACAATCAGGACTGGTAATAACATCTGTGCACAAAGATATTATATCGTCGTATTTTTCGTCTTTCATTGCTTGTAAGATATTTTTATAAACCCCGGTAATTAAGTCATCATAAATATATTACAGTAATATTACCAAAAATAACATTATAGTCTACTAACTGGAGAATGAAAAACCAGGTCATGATGGTATATTAATACGACTAGTTTGGTGAGTAAAAAAGTAGTCTTTTTGTATTTTATTGCAATTGTTACAATTAGATGTATAGAAAATGTTCCTAAAAGGATCAAATTTTAAATTTTGAGAAGTTACAAAAATTTTGATTATATGTTGTACTATATGTTGTACAGTAGGTGGAAAATTAGAGCTCTTTTGACGATCCTCTACTTGTTTTAATAGCTCCGTTTTTAATTTTTTGCATTTGAAAAAGATGTGACTTTATTAAAATTAATTTTAAAAGTTATATAAATATATTCAATTCCAACTCTCTCTCTCTCTCTCTCTCTCTCTCATTTGAAGCATACAACTTCCTAAATTCTCAGAAAACATCTTTTTCTAACAATCAAAGTTTCCTTGAGATATTTTACATTTCTTATGTTAACTGATCATTGTCATCATTTCTATTACCAATTGTTCATATGCAGCTGCCCTATTTTGATAAAAGGTTGCAGTTTCATCCACATATTTCACTGGACAAATTTCAATTGCCATGTTATATTGAGCTATGGCCTTATCATATTTTCCTATTTTGAAATATGTATTTCCTTCCTTCTTGTATTTCTGCGCCATTTCTAAAGGGGTCTAGAATAAAAAAGGTTGGATTAATTATGAAAATACTGTCTCCTATATTCATTAGTATATAATTTATACCAGTATGAACTAAATAATTTCAGAGAATTATTTCACTATGTAACAAAAACCCACTCATTGGAAACTTATTGCAAAATACAGCGTATCAGGAATCATCAACAATTGTTCACAGATACTTTTATAGTTACAAACCATTGCTTGCAGATATTGCATCACTGGAATTTTACATATCAACAATTATCAAGAGATAGAAAGGGGAAAACATTTATCGTTGTTATTACCTGCTTAAATTTTTTCGTTAATCAAAAATACCAATGAGTCCATTAATGATTTTTTTTTTCAAGAAAAGTTGATACTTTCAGATGAGTGGATTATCGTTTATTAATCATTAAACCGTAGACAAGGATTATTCTAGTGCGTTTAGTCAAGAACATGCGGTCTTAACCTCCGGCTGCTTGGGCGCGGAAGAAGGCACTTGGTTGCCGTCGACGTCGCCGTCGATGGAGATCTGCTTGTCGGTAGACGCTCCGTTCTCCTTGGGCTTGGGACGACGATCCGGCTTGGCGTTAGTCCGGACATTGTTCTTGTAGTACATGTAACCGAGGCCAAGGGCAACCGGCGCACCAACCACTAGGGCGAGTTGCCATTTGGCCACGCCGCCACCCGTTCCGTCCGCGACGGGCATTCGTTCTTTCGCCGGTTTCTAGTCGCCGATAAAACGTGACACGGTTACGCCGCGAATCAACACGACGGCGATGACGGCGACGATGCCGAGGATGACGGTGATGATGATTCGTCGTCGCTCACCGACACGTTTCTCTGCTGAGACTGCTGTGAAAGCGCGGAAAACACCAAGCCCAAGCGACGAACATGCGGACACGCGTACGTAGTCTCCTCGTTTCTTGCTACGAATACCGCGTATACGAACGAATATACCGTGCGTGCGATCACGACAATGCGTGCTCACTGGTGTTCGCCGAAACTTCGTCAGCACTTGCCACCAATCACATGCTGTGAAGATTACTAAGCGACTTATGTAATTTGCTGGAAAGCTACTTCTCGCGCACTCACGCCCTCTGAGGCTGTATTGAACTCGAAGTAAAGCCAGCGGCACACGATGCTTGTTTTCATGCTGGATTGCTTGCTGGATGGAAATACTCTGTTCTGATTGGTGCATTTCTGAAGACAAACCAATCAGAATAGAATGGCCGCGTTCAGTAGAACAAGTGATCAGTAAGCGCTCAGGGAGCTCTTGTATATGATTTGGCATATTCTTTTAGATCTCCAACTATACTCCAATCAGATGCAAGAGCTCACTGAGCGCTTACTGATCACTTGTTCTACTGAACGCGGCCAATATTTCCATCCAGCAAGCAATCCAGCACGAAAACAAGCATCGTGTGCCGCTGGCTTTATGGCTCCTGCACACAGGACGCGGTAATGTTTGCCGCGCGGCGAAAGTTCGCGCAACAGCCAATCAATATGCTGCTTTTCGTAATAACCTTCTAGCTTTTATGGAAAAACAACATATTGATTGGCTGTCGTGCGGACTTCCGCCGCGCGGCAAGATTACCGCATCCTGTGTGCAGGAGCTATTACTCTACTAATCGAGTAGGATTTCTGAACGCAGCCCTGTACTGCTGAAATAAGTTGGAGTGAGACAAACACATGTTTGTCTTATGACTCCTGCCCACAAGACGCGGCAATGCTTGCCGCGCGGCGGAATTTCGTGCGACAGCCAATCAATATGTTGCTTTTTCGTAAGAACTAGAAGGTTATTAAAGCAGCATATTGATTGGCTGTCGCGTGAACTTCCACCTCGTGACAAGCATTACCGCGTCCTATGTGCAGGAGCTATTTTTGCACCACTGCAACAGTGCAACGAAAAAGAACAGAATGATAAAAGCACCTCTAAAAATGGCTTTATAAGCTTTATGATTGGCTATCAGCTGCTTTTAGAAACGTTTTTAGCAATAAAAGAGAGTTCAAAATATGGAACTTAGAATAATAGTAATGACGCTAGCAAATCCTCTATAAAATCTGCATTCTGATATTTACTGCAAATACTGAAATCTACTTTACTACTTTACTGAAAATCTATAGTATATATAACATAAATTATAGATTTTCAATACTGGCTGTGAATACCGGAACGCAGTTAAAATTAACTACACACATGAAATAGAGATAACGCCACAGAAAGTATATGTATAAAACTAAGGTTGCTTTCCAACAAGAGACACAAGTCGACACAAACATTATTCTATCTTTGTTCCACGTTTAGTGAGTAACAAAAGGTGCTTTCCAGTTGCGTACATTGTGTTACACAAAACCAGCTTATTGGTTGCATATTATCTTACAAGATATTTAGATAATATGTGACTAATTAACTGGTTTTATGTACGTGTGTGTCAAGATGTGTTAAGCAATTGGAAAGCACTCAAAAATAGGATGATACTTGTATCTTTGTATCTTTGTCGACTTGTGTTTCTTGTTGGAAAGCAACCTAAATGTATTATATTGTATAATACAGTGTATAATGGCTCCTGCACACAGGACGCGGTAATGCTTGCCGCGCGGCAAAAGTCCGCGCGACAGCCAATCAATATGTTGTTTTTCCATAAGAGCTAGAAGGTTATTACGGAAAGCAGCATATTGATTGGCTGTCGCGCGAACTTCCGCTGCGCGGCAAGCATTATCGCGTCCTGTGTACAGAAGCCATAATACAATGTATAATATCTCAGTATAATATATGTTCAATCCTCTCTCTGGCCATCACTATCTCAATTCTTGGTTAAAGAAAATGGCGGTTCGTAGCGGAAACTTAGGAACTAATTTTAAGAAATAACGGATCTAAGGAGTACTTAGACCCATTATTTCTGTAAATTATAGCGTGTTCGACTGGCCCTGGATTAATCGCTCCGAGAACGATTAATGTCATAAGTCTCTACTAGCCAATCATAAAGCTTATAAGTATTTATTCGACCAATAAACGTAGACTGAATAACCCAGAGTAGGTTACCCAGAGCCAGTCGAACATGCTATTATAACGTTTTTCATTGGCAGAATTGGTGCGCACTAAGGCTTGTTCACAGTATGTTATTATATTGAAAGATTGTCTTAAATTCTCAAATATTTTTAACCAGTAATATAATATGTATAACATCCGTACAAATCATTTTATTATCTAAAATATTTTTAAATATGTATTTAAGACACGATCTTAAATATGAAAATGTACTGTAAACAAGCCTTAGTGCGCACCAGTTCTACCAATGAAAAACGCTTTTAGTTTCAAAGTCTTCGCTATGAGCTGCCATGCTTTCTTTAACCAGGAATCAAGGTAGTGATGGCTATAAACAGCATCTGTATTGACTAATATACTTACAAAAATAACGGATCTAATATATTTCTTGGATGTTTCATGAAGTGTGCGTATTCGTTAGAATCATTTGCAGTTTCAAACCACGGCTTGAATACATCTTGTTTTTTGCTTGTGAATATCGTATTTTAAAAGCATCACTATTCGTTGAGAATTCGCGCCACATTCTCTGCGCACGCGAATGAAACTTCGCCGGAAAGATGGCAACTGTCTGTCAACAGCAGTTACGTTTTATCAGCTACTATGCTACTAGTTCATTGAAATCGAGAGTGGAATTTGCAAAATATGAGAGCTGTCGCAACGATTACGACGCGTCACGAAGAATGCTGAGTTATCGCGAGTGTTTTTTGCGTTGCGGCGATTTTTAACGGACATTACCGTTCTCCGTCTTTTCCCGCAGCACGTCGGTGGTTTCCTCGCCGTGACGTTTACCGCAATGGCACTACAAGAGGACGAGAACACCTGGTAAGTTGAGATCGAAATTCTTTTATTACTTTTGTCGAGGAATGTCACGTCTTTCCGACGAAATTGCAAATCCAGAGTTTACTGGCGTTAACCTGTTAAAATTGTAACAAAATCACTTACGCTCTTACAAAATTTATCTAAATACGACGCTTTGTCGCGATGTAGTTTGTAACGGTGAAATGTAAAAAATTTGATAGATATAGCGTTGCACGTGTGCAACTGTGTTACTGAATGCAGTGGCAGGTTGTTTCATTAGCAGAATAGTGCGAGTCTTACTATTTCAAAGTTTGTTAGTATATATTACTTAATCAGTCATATCTCACAGTTCATACATTCTTTGTATAATAATCGGTAATGTATGTTCTATATGTGTAAGTAGAAATTTTATTTTCATTAATTTTAAATGAATTGTTCATTACTTTAGGGTGTTGGAGTTAGAAGCAGCGCTTTTGGATACAGAGGCACCATCTGCATCTGACATATATGCTATTTGTAAGGGCCAATCAGTCCCTGCAAACTTGAGGCCAGAAGTCTGGCAAGCTTGTCTCTTTGTGACTGAAAGAGGTGACCAATTAAGCCATTTTAATGAAGTCTTTGATTTACCTGAACAAAATATCATTCGTGATGATTGTCAACAATTGGTTGGTAAGTTAAAAGAGAAAAAAACTTTTCATAGCTACAGTAAATAGTCTTCTTTACATGTTTAGTAACAGATTCTATCAAATGTTATAGCAAAGCTTGGGAATGATGATGAAGACAAAGTTTCTGTAGTCTCTGATCTTGAATCTATATTAACATTTTACTGTAAAACTAAATGTAAACAATATGAAAAAGGAAATGGATGGTTGGAAGTACTGGGTCCTTTGATAGCATTAAAGTTGCCGCGTGCTGCAACTTACAATCTTTTTGAGGCAATAATAGATATTTATATCCCAAGGTAATAACATTATAGTAATTATCTTTTTCTATGAAAAACAGTATAATTATCAGAAATACATATCTTTATAACACTTCAGCAACTAATTTTTGTGGTAAAATCTGTATCAGTAATTTGAGCATTACTTTATATTTCGTAGTATTATTTATAATAGTGCTATGGATTGCACTATTATGTGAAGCAGTATATAATGCAATGAATTTAATATTCATTAATTTTTCTTTCAGGGGTGAAACGTATAGTTCAGTTTTACGATTGCTGCTGCTTTACCATGAGCCAGAACTATGCTCTTTTTTGGATACGAAAAGGATATCACCCGACCAATATACGAAAATATGGATGAATACACTTTTCGCCGGTGTCTGTTCGTTGCCGGCGATTTGCACAATGTGGGATCTATATTTCATGCAAGCCGATCCATTTTTCATGCTGTTTCTCTCGCTTATTATGGTGATAAATGCCAGGTAAATTTACTGAACAGATGCTTCAATGCATATATTTTTCTGTAACATTACATAACAGGATTCGAATCTTTATAGAGAACAAATCTTGAGCATGAAGGATGAAGATAAGCAAAGCATAATAGATGCTATTGCAATAATGCCGTGCGCTCTGGAAGCAGATGACGTAACTGACTTCTGTTCTTTGGCGCAATACTATGCGATGAAAACACCAACGTCATTCAAACAAGACTTATATCCCGTGATGTTTGGCGATAGTTTGGACGAGAAGTTAATATCCCATGCATTGTGTCTACCTGTGTCGGCGCAAGAATTAGTGGAGAATGCCATCGAAGCTCCATCCGTACTTAATAGTGCTGTCGAGTCTGTTAGATTCTTTCTCGTAGATTGCAGACCTGCTGAGCAATATAACGCGGGTCATCTACCGACCGCGTTTCATCTAGATTGCAACTTGGTAAATATATATATATATATATATATATATAAATTAATTAATTTTTAACATTATCTGCTTCGCACAGTTCATTGTAATTTTACTAAAATTCCACATGTATACGTTTTTTAAATACATTTCATTTCTATTTCTTAGATGCTGCAAGAACCTGCTGCGTTTGCCACAGCAGTACAAGGCTTGCTGCAAGCCCAACGTCAAGCGCTTGCAGTTGGTTCACAAGCTGGCGGGGAACATCTTTGCTTCCTGGGAAGTGGTAGACAAGAAGAAGATCGTTATACTCACATGGTAGTGGCATCCTTTTTGCAGAAACATACGCAATACGTCAGCATGGTCACGTCTGGATATCAAGGTAATTAATTTTATATTTCTGTTTATCTGTAAACATATATTTATGTTTTCTGAAGAAAATGTATTATATACTGTGTCTATACAAATTATAATTATTTTGGTTTTAGCCATTCATGAATATTTTGGTGATGAAGTAGTATCAAATCTGGTTGATCACAATTCGCAACATTGTCTGGTGTGCAATACTAATATATTGGAAGAAAACTCGAATGAGGCGAGTCCAATTAAAGTAAAAAACAATAATTCGGACCTTCTGGGGAAGATTGGATTGGCCATGAAACTAAAGAGCCAGGAAGTAAAGGGAAAGCTGTTCGATTATATCGTTAATCCTTCAGCAAGCGTGAATAGCAATATAGAGAAGAAAGACGGCAAAGATTTGGACTATATTAAACGTCAGAGAAAAACTGCGCCTGTGTTTAGTATAGACGATGATCAAGAATTAGGTAATTATTATCATCAAATAATTTTTAAACAATCGTAAATTGCTCGTTGTGAGAAAAAAACTTGTCTGATCTAATAATATTGTTTCTAGATATGACTATGACCAATAACGAAAGCGAAGAGCCTATTGAAGTGGTATCTATACAGCAATGGATGAAAGATCCTAAGTTATTACATTCCTTCAAATGCCAAGAAGTAAAAGTTAATGGTGATCTCTGTGATAGGTGAGCACGCGTAGCAAAATCAACGAATTTTTAGATGTTAAATGCTTCTATGTATTTTGTTGTAGTCAACTGCTGGTTACCGATAGTCATCTTATAGTACTGCGTGAAATTCAAGAGCGAAAAGGTGCCGCTCATGTGATCGTGAAACGACCCTTAACAAGCATCGTTAAGATAACATCAAGGAAGCGACACGCGGATCTGATAACTTTCAAATATGGTACAACGCAATATAATGACACGGTTATTTCCGATATGGACAAGTTTCTTATACCCAACGCGAGTGAAGCTACCAAATTGATTACTCAACAGATTATGAAACAATTAAAAACATCAGACTAATATATATCAGATACGTATTTTATAGAATAATTTCAAGTCACTGTACAGTTGTCATCAAGTTTAATTTGTGACAATTTTCCCGAAAAGAAAAAGAAAGTTAATTTTCAGTAAATGTAAAGTATATGATACTTATTTTACAGCTCTTATTTATTCACATAATTTGTTTATTTCTGTTGTAGAGAGAAAGTACAATCATTAGAATTGATATAGCATTATATGCATTCGATAGACGTTAGTAAAGTAATTGAAAGATGATAAATTGACGTTTAATGAAAGAAATATATTTCTGATATCGACCACTAATATTTTTATCGTATGGGAATCACAATTCAGTCATGTTACCAAACAGACAAATTTGATTAACACATGTTCTTTGTTCAATTAAATTTCGATAGTTTTATATATGTCATACATTTACAACCTTCTTAAACGTCATAGCGAATGCTTGCCCTAAAAATCAATGCGCTCTATAAAATGTAAATCACATTTATGCCATATGATCTAATGTAATCTCTAGACACATGAGATTACAATAGATCTCTTCGAAAATATGTAAAGGCCTTCGATTTTCTGTTGCGTGGCAATTTTTGTAATATTTTCGCAGCGTTAAAATTTCAACGTTGAATTCATATTTGATTAGACTGAAATCTTGTAGAAGTATAAGAGAAGTTAGAAACTAACGATTGATACTAATACATATGTGCCTGATCAATGCACAGTTTTTTTTTTTTTTTTTTT